TCACAACATTCTAGGCATGCTTCTTGTGCAACTGCAACTTGTGTTCTTCTTGAGTTTGATGGTCTTCATTTCTGGATAGCTTGATTCCTGCAAAATAACACAAATACTACAAAGAAAAGAAAAGAAAAGAAAAGAAAACTACATTTAATATAATAAGCTATAATTTCTAGTTTATGGGTGCAAGCTAGTCTTGTAGGTAAGTTTGTAATGACATAAACCTTTTGTTCTACAAAGTTGTGGTTTTAGTATACACACAAAAATAGAACGGTATTTCTCAACTTCTTCATTTGAGATATTGGCATGTATACACATTCCCTATGATCAATGAAAGTAATATTAGTTGAAAGACATTTTTTCAGATTGAAATGCTTCATCTCAGTCCAGTCTACTTCTTTATATAGAGGTAGAATTGCATCAGGACTAATCCTAGAGAAGCGAAAGAGTCCTCCTTTGGGAAAATAAGAAATAATGATGAGAACTGATTTTCCCATATATTTTCGAATAATGTGTGGCTGCAATCTCTATTGCTAGGTAATTTCAAATGCATTAAATGAGCTGTCTAAATACATAATTAACCGATGTTAACATGATCAGTGGCCGTAAAGCAATGACAAAATCGAATAAAAAAGGCATAGCAATAAAACAACATAGTTTTATTTGGGCGGGAAAAATGTGAATTAGAAATTTTTGGTATTATATAAGGTAAGATAATTGCCAATCCAATCAATTTAAAAGCAAATCGGAAAAAAAAATGACAACTAAGATAAAAGAAGTTCATGTTACAAAGTAGCATTTTCAATTCTTGCAAATCCATCCAGCGCACAAGGTCCTAGTTCTTCGTACTGCAGTGCAGTTTAGCGAATTCGTAAAGTATTACAAAAAAAAAAAAAAAAAAAAAAAAAAAAAAAGAGGCGAGGTATAATTAGTAAAGTATTACATAAAAGAGGACAAAAGTAGTAGACAGAAAAGGAGAAACTTGAATTTGTTGACATCATCCCCGCGTCTAACCACTTTATGATTTTTAAAGATATCCTCAAAAGCTCGAAACCCAGAAAAATCAGGTCCAGCACCTCCACGCTCTTCTGCACTATTACTATTGAAAGCATCATGATCATGACCAAGGTGATCAAAAGTGTGGCGTTTTTCTTCATCTTTCAGAACCTCATACGCATTTTGAAGTTGCTGAAATTTGTTTGCAGCTCCAGGATCATCTTTATTCACATCCGGATGTAACTTCTTTGCAAGCCCTAGATACGCTTTTTTGATTTCAGATGCGGTTGCATTCTTACTTATGCCAAGTACATCATAAAAATCTCTGCTTGACATGTGTGCTGTGGCGTGAATGGATCTTGATACTCCAAATTTCAACCCATAATTAACCCCTCCATTACTCGAATACCAATGGAACAGAGGCCTCGTCTGATTATTGCATAATCCTGCCGTGTTATACTCCCTGCATCGATATCCCCCGCTGCACAGCGATTCATTTACACAAGAAGAGCCGCGGGGAAGATGAGCGGAGAGGGCGGCGCGAGCGAGGCGGATGACGTTTCGGCGGGCCATTTCGGGAGAGCGGCGGTGGCGGATCAGAAAAACCCTAGTTAGGAGCGGAGCTTCAGTGTTCCTGGAACCTGTTTGCCACGTTATTAATATTATGGAATATAAACATTCTTTGAGGCCCAAGAATTCATAACAAAATCTACACCAAACAAACTAGTTTTCCGCCATTCTAGATACACAACAAACTACAATTAGGTCATCTAATTAAAAATCAATGTAATTAGATCCCTAAACAACACAAAATCATGCAATTAGCTTCAAAATAAATTGTTTACGGTGGAGAGCGACTCTCTGAGTACAGAATTACCCTTTTCCCGACACTTAGGTGCAATTGTGTGTGCCATAAATTATGCTCAACTCTCGTTGTGACACAAAGATAGCAAACGAAACAAGTAACTATGACCACTAATTACAAGCATCAAACAATATAATCACAATTGCAACACAAGTTTAAAACCCAAATAATAATATATTAAAGAATCTGAGAGCACAAGCACATAAGTTTATAAACACTTTTTACCCAAAAATCTCTAATGGAATTTCAAAGAGAGTACGAGATTGAACCATACAATTTTCTCAAATATCTCAAATCTTCTTCTTGATTCCCAAGACAACTTGTGGCTCTTGATTTCTCTCTTTTTTGTTTCTAAAGATCTCAAAATGAATATTAGGATTGGAAAAGGTGAGATTTTATAGCGGGAGTCAAATCGGGACAAATTTAAATTTTCCCTTATTTAATTATGAATTTCAATCCTTTTATTATTAAGAATTTATTGCATCCCAATTTTCTTTGAATTCAGCGCTGCCTCACTTTGGAATTTAATGCCGCCTCCCTTCCTTTTAATAGCAAATCAACACCTTTCATTACAGAATTTAGTGCCGTCCCTTATATTTTGGAAATAAGTGCGATTCATTTGTAATGCATGCAGTGTCTCGCAAGCAAGCACCCCGCATTCTCGACTTCGACGCGTTGAGTATTATGGGCTCCAAACTTGTCCATTTTGTCTCCAAATTCGCCTAGAACTTCCCTTACTCATAGAATTGACTTATAATGGTTCAAAAACATTAACAAACACCGTAAAACATTCAAGACAAGTGTAAACGTAATCATAATTAGATAATAAAATAAAGAATTATGCAATTAAATTACCAAAATCATGAATGATAAGTGTCAAAGACGAACACTTTTAAGGTCCATTTAGGGTGAATTCTATGCTAAAAGTAATCCTTTGTGTAGCAATTTTGTACCAATTAACTATGTTTTGCATTATATTGAAACTTACCACCACACTTTATGTTTTACAAGTTTTTAGGTGAACATTCAATTTATTTTTTTTTAGTAGGGGAAGGGGCCAAAGGCCCCAAACATTCAGTTTATAGATTGTGTATTTTTAGGTGAACCCGAGTCCATAAAATAATTTGCCTTAGAGGAGTATTTCGTAAATCATGCCATGATAGAAGGACAATACTGTTTTTTTTTCTTCGACAATCATTAAATCATAGATTTACTAACTTAATAGTATCAATTAATACATGATTACGTAAATCAATTATTTTTTTTGAATGCTACCTACTCTATTACACTGTAGTATCTATTTCAAACATACTTTCTCAAGTACAAAGAGTCAACAATACTTTCACTGAGATTCGATCTCATGATCTCAGCTCTCATATAGGAGAGTCACTACATGTCATCTAAACACAAAGTGCTTCGCATGTAAATCAATATTTATTTGACTTAGAATATTATAATACTATTCTTTTTCCGTTTAATTTCATACAAAAGCCCCAGACGCCTAACTCATTTGCATGTTAAGCACACATTCGAACGGAAAGAACAAATATCATTCTTCTAAAAGGTTAAACTCCAACCTTAAGAGCCTCCAACACTTCGACTTGATAGAGCATTTGAAAGGATGTAAATCATGGTAACTCAACTGAACATGAACCACAGAGGCAAAGAACAAATATCATGACTATATACAAAACGTGTATGTTACAAATTAAATTCACCGACATGTAATAAATTTCCAAATTGCAAAACTTTTATGATAATAGTTCGTTGACATTCAAATCCGTTGAATCAACTAATGGTTTAAATATAAAACTTTAACGTATGAAATAATATTATTCTTTTCTACTTCTCCTCTCTCTTATGCAAATTATTCTGTGGACTTGAATCTACCTTGCAAGGTGGATCTGTGTTCAAAAATATACAATTTACATACTAATTTTTCACAATTTATTTTTTAAAAATTCACAATTTATGATGACTCTTATATTGTATGTACAAATTCTCAAAGTTTGGAAAAACAATTTATATTCTATAAGTTAACAATTCTAATACTAAAAATACACAATTTAGGATCAAAGTCTACCTTGCAAGGTGAACCTTAATTCATAGTATAACAACTGTTTCTCTTAAGGTTGAATCTCCAACTCCAAAGGTCCCACACACCGACCCGACAGAGCATTTGGATGATTTAAATCACGGTGATCCAATGGCTAAGTAAACAAGGCCAAATAAAAAAAATGCCAATTGCACAAGGAATCTATCCACTTTAGACATGATCCCTACACTATCGTTGTGGAGGTTGAATCTTTGGTTTTTTATCTCAAATAATGTCTTTAAACCATTGAGTACAGTGTACAATATTATTCTTTTCTCTCTTTTTTTTTTTTGGTAGAGAATATTATTATATTCTTTTATGCTCCATAGGGAAAATCTCCACAACCAACTCATTGACTTATTAAGCATCGGTTCCATCAAAAAGAAAAAGTATCATAACTAATTAACTTTTTTTTTAAGGTCAACCAATGAGTTGTATTCATAGATAAGCTGAAATAGCATCAGATGGGATAATATCCCAATACATAGCTGTGTCATACTGAAAAGCTGTAGAAGCTAAACTATGTGCTAGATAATTTTGCGATCTAGGAATGAAATTAACATGACTATAATTAAAAGTAGATAAATAGTTCCTGCACTCATCAATAGCATAGCCAACATATGATCGTGTGAGCAGCTGTGGTGTGGTTAAGTAACTTTGTAGCATCTGGCAATCCGTATAAAGCTCTACATCTTGATCTCCACGCTCGCGTAGCCAAGGTAGAGCCTCCTTAAGAGCATATGCCTCAGCCATTAGTGGGGAAAAATAATGTGGCAAAGGCGCGGCGTATGCCGAAATAAATCGACCATCGGATCCAATTATTACTGCTCCTACCGTTGCTGCATTGTCCGTATGATGATATCCAGCATCGACATAGCACTTGGAATATATTCGTGTTGGGGCGTGATTTGGTGTAATATATGCCACGGCTTCGTGGACAGTAGCATGCGCTGGGGCGCTGATTGACGCAACATTCACCTCTCCTCTCGTCGTATGGACGTGACGCCATGCAGATAATTCGACCTGGGCCGCGGCGAGCAATCGTCGTGGTCTAGGCAAACATGCTTCCCAAACCGCACCATTCCGAGCCCTCCATAAATGATAAATAATTGCAGCTGCGTAGGCAATACCATCAGAATCTAGAATATTTAACATTGCACTAAACCATTCATAAAAAATATTTGTCACAATATTTGTAGATGGAAGGTTAGATAGAGCCCAAATGGTCCTTGTGTAGTCACACAAAACCAATGCATGCATAATACTCTCATTTGCAACTCCACACATGGCACACACCGGATCAACCTCTACTCTCTTTATAAGCAAGTTATTGGTAGTAGGGAGGATATCACTCAAAGCTCTACATAATAATGTCTTCCATTTGGGTGGTATTTTTTGGTTCCACAATGTTAGCCATTTCGTAAATCCCCCATTGTCAACATTCTCATAATTCCCCAAAATACTTGTATATCAATGTTTAACCGTGTAGTTACCCTTGGGGTCCCCATGCCAATACCACATATCATCATAGCCTGGGGATACTGGTATTTTTAGAATTCTACTCACATCACTGGGTTCAAAAATATCAGCAAGCAAATCATGATCCCAAGTGCCTGTAGCCTGGTCAATTAAATTGATTACCTTGGCATTACTCAGTTGGGGTGGCATTTCTGTCTGGATCGTGGGGTCGTCTTCATCTTGCAACCATGGGTGTCCCCACACCAAGGTAGAATTTCCGTTACCAATTCGTCTTCTAACCCCACTGCAAATTAAACCCTTAGCTGCCAAAATGCTCCGCCAACAGTGGCTTGGGTTGTTCCCGAGTACCGCATCAGTAAAAGGTTGGTTGGGGTAATATCTTGCCTTATAAACTTTAGAAACTAGAGAATCTGTATTGGTTAGCAGTCTCCAAGCTTGTTTTCCCAAGAGTGCCACATTGAAAGCTCTTAGGTCCTTAAAACTCAATCCACCATACTTCTTTGGAATACATAACTTATCTCAGGCTTTCCAATGGATTCTCTGGTCAGTCCCTGAACCCCACCAATACCTATTCATCAACCGCTCAATAGCCGTACAAATAGTAATAGGCAATAAGAAAACACTCATTGAGAAAGTAGGCATAGCCTGAGCCACACTTTTCAATAAGACCTCCTTTCCTGCCTGTGACAATAGTTTCTTGTTCCAAGACCCTATTCTCTGCCTGATCTTGTCCTCTATATAAGCAAATGCTGCTTTCGTATTCCTTCCAATAAATGATGGTAACCCAAGATATTTCCCATAGTTAGGAGCCTGGATCGCTCCCAATACCTGTGCCATAGTTTTATTGACCTCCTCCCGTCGTATTCTTACTATAGCATATACTGGATTTATGGTAATTAACAGCCTGCCCAGACAGACTTTCATATAAAGCCAGGCAGCCTTTAATTTCATTTGCCTCCTGCACAGTTGCTTTAAAAAATAATAAGCTATCATCAGCAAAGAAAAGATGGGAGATAGGTGGAGCACCCCTTGCTACTCTACATCCATGTATTAAACCCCTTCCTTGTGCTTGTTGTAACAACAAAGAGAGTCCTTCAGCACAAATTATAAAAAGGTATGGAGATAATGGATCACCCTGACGTAAGCCCCCTAGTTGGTATTAGTGAATCACTACGTGACCCATTCACCAGAAAATTATAAGATACCGTCGTAACACACATCATAATAAGATCAATCCACTTATCATTAAATCCCAGGGCCACCATCATACCTTTCAAAAAAGGCCATTCCATCCGATCATAGGCCTTTGCCATATCCAGTTTTAAGGCACTCCAACCAACTGCTCCACACTGTTTCCTGTTCAAATAATGGCCTACTTCTGAGGCAATCAAAATATTATCCGTTATCAACCTGCCTGGTATAAATGCACTTTGGGACTCAGATATAATACTATCCATTAGGGGCTTCATTCTCCGGGTAATCATTTTAGCCATAATCCTATAAATTACATTACTAAGCGCAATTGGTCTCAAATCAGAGACCTGCTCAAGAACATCTTTCTTAGGAATTAATACGACATTGGTATTATTCAGACCAGGTGGCAACGAGCCTGCATTCAGACAGTTTACAATAAAAGTCGAGATATCACCCCCCCACAATATCCCAGAAATTCTGATAAAAGCCGGGGTTCATCCCGTCCGGCCCTGGTGCCTTATTTGGATACATTTCAAAGAGAGCATCTTTCACCTCACCAACCTCAAAGGGCCGCACTAATACCTCATTTTGTGCATGAGTTACCTGTGGAGTAATATTGCTATAGATCAGATCACCACTCATGGGATTACTAGCTGTAAAAATATGCTTAAAATAGTCCAGAACCACACCCGCCATATCATCCCCTTCCACCCATTCACCACGACTATCCATAATTTTAATTAAAGTATTTTTATTCCTTCGGTTCGAGGCATACCTGTGATAAAATTTCGTGTTGGCATCAGCATCCTTGAGCCAATGCTGTTTGGCCCTCTGCTTCCAGTATACATCCTCCTGCATCTCCACTCGGCATAGGTCCGTTTCTAGGCGGTTATATTCCTCCAGGGATGCGTGATCAGTACATCCCCTGAGTTGATCTTGTCTTTTCCGGAGCTGCTCAATCTTTTCCCCAAACTTATGGTAACGGTCTCCCCCCCATCGGGTTAACCGTTTTCCACAGTGTGCAATACAACTTTGTGCACCCCTACCCCCTTCCTTCCTCCCATGATTCAGCAACTACTGCTCTACACCCCTCATCATAGAGCCATGCCATCTCAAAACGAAATCTTCGCCCCCCACCCCTCCTGGTCCCATATTGTCGAATCCCCATGAAAATGGCTGAATGATCTGATCTTCTTGTCCATAGATTTGTAACCGTGACCCCATTAACAATATCCCTCCAGTGGTTAGTGACAAGTACCTTATCTAGTCTTTCCTGAATCCATCCAGGAGTGCCTCTGCCCGTCTGCCATGTGAATTGATTACCACTCATTGGTAACTGTGCTAAACCACACTGATCAATAGTCTCTCCAAAACCGCGTAAGAGACTATTCGGGTGTGGGTTTCCACCTTTCTTCTCATACTGATACAGGAGATCATTAAAGTCGCCAATCACAACCCAGGGTAGCTCAGATCGTGTTGCCAACTGTTTCAATAAATCCCATGACTCAGTTCTCCGTGTTCGTTCTGGATAGCCATAGTAACAAGTCATCCTCCAATTCGGAAAACCACTTATATTAACTTCCACATCAATATGTGTTTTCGAGTAACCCAGTAATCTTGCAGTATTGTTCTTCCTCCAAAGTAATGCTAAACCACCACTACGGCCCGTATTATCAACATAAAAAAGGCCCTCATAACCAATCTTAACACGAACACGTTCAGCATGTATCCGTGCCACTTTCGTTTCCATCAAAAATACAAAATCAGGCTTCTTCTTGGACACCATGTCCACAACTGCACGAACTGTCCGTGGATTTCCCAAGCCACGACAGTTCCAACTCAGAGTACTCATTGTTGAGGGCGGGTCTGGGAACCAGAGCCCGCCTGTAGCAAGTTTTTTAAACTATCAGCCATGTTAACATCCGTATCAGTCAACTGTCTATCATCCTGCCTACGCCGTTTAGCCAACGCTGTTACCCCCTCCTCCTCCTCCTCCTCGGTTTGGCAGTGTGCCTGTTCATTCACGGGCGGAATTTCCGGCGCCCCACTCGGAGATCCATGACGGATCGGCGGATCCTCCGAGGTAAGCAACCATGGTTCTCCGATTGGCCGTGGGCCTCTTGCCTGACCAGCTCTCATCTATACACCATAAGGATATTGCTCAGGTGTCAACGTCGAGTTCCTAGCTTTCAAACAAAACTTTTCCGAATGCCCTAAAAGTCCACAGAAAAAGCAGAAGGTATGTAATCTTTCATATTTGAAATTCACCTGTCCCCATGACTTGTCCCGCCGAATTAATTTCATTCTTCTTTTCAGAGGTCTATCCACGGGCATACAAACCCTAATTCGGTAGAACGCTTTGAGAGGCCCCTTCATCTGTCTTTCATCAACCTTCAGGAACTTCCCCAAAAAGTTCCCTGTCTATTCAAGCACCGGTACCGTATTATAGCCAACCGGCAGGTTATACACCTGCACCCATAGATCAACAGTATCAAGCACCATATCTTCCGGCAACTGACCATCTTTCACCTCTTTACATAACAGCGTAGAATTCTCAAAGGACCACGGTCCCTCATCCAAAACTCTCCGGACATCTGTTATGTGATGGAATACAAACTGGAAAAGATTCGGTTGGAGCTCCGTGATATGCACACCACTAACCGGTTTCCATGTCGAGGCCATTACTTGTCGCATGTACTCAACCTTGATCAATCGTTGTGTCAAGAACTGCCCTACCAACACCCAAGATTCTGCTACCGCGGCTGCGTCACCGTCGACCGCCGGCGCCTCAACACCGGCGTCCTCATCTTCTAGTACTATATCCGCCCATCGGTCCGACAGGCTAGCTATCGCAGCTTCAGACACTGCCATGCGTACACTCGGACTTCCCTGCTGTGCGTGCTGTTCTTGAGTGAAACTTCCGTCGGAAACTGCTTCGTTAATACTGCCGAAGACGAAACCCTAATTTGGGAGAGAAGTAGAGAGAATCCCTTACGACGAGGGAGAGACTACTATAACTAATTAACTATATACAAAGAAGTCTTACTTCCATTTGTTTTGTAATCCCCTTATCATTTTTATCCAACTCGACAAAAAAGTCTCGGGATTGAAAAGATTAAAGTTATTGAGCGTTTGTATTGGATTTCTTTATGTACACAATGGTTCGTAACATGTATATATATAAGAAACTATGTATGAGGCGTCCAACATAAGCCATCAACAAACTCAGAACCTCACTACAAATTTTGGCTTTGTTGTACTTTTACTTTAGATTATGATGAGAAGACTAATAGGATTAGACTTAACAGCAAAATAATACTCCGTATTATATTTGTTGGAACTGGTAAGTCCAATTTACACATTATCTACACAGAAAAAGACAATCACATAAATCAATAAAAAGATTTAGATCTGTCAAAGTCAAAACAGCTTCCTATTAAATTTGCAACTCCAATTCGTCAAATTACACCGGATAAGATTTGGCCCAAAATGCTTGCGTTTTCAATTTTTCATTATATTGATCAATTATTTTTTCACCTGTTTCCCATGGGCGGGGAAACTGAAATTTTTTATTTATCAAAAATGTTTGGCTTTATTATAGTATTTATTTATTTATTTATTTATTTATAGTATAATAGATAGATAGATAATAGATAGATAATAGATAATAGAATAGATAATAGATAGATAGATAGATAGATAATTATTATTATTTACCACTTCCCTTAGCATGATCATTTCCCCCCTTTTGCGTCACTTGTATTACTCCATATTATTATTATTATTATTATTATTGTTGTTGTTGTTGTTGTTGTTGTTGTTGTTGTTGTTGTTGTTGTTGTTGTTGTTATTATTATTATTATTATTATTATTATTATTACTACGTATTTTGTTTTGTAAACAAACTATGTATTAAAATGATTGAAATAGTTACAATTTATTTAACAATATATTTTTATTAAATTTTGTTATTTTTTACACATTTAGTATTAGTATATTACATTTTTTATATAGAATTAAATTTGTAAAATAAAATAAAAAAATTAGAGAAATGAAAATTTAAAGATAGGGTGAATGAAAATTAGAATACAAAAAAATGGAAATTAAAAATTAATAAACAAAAAAAAGAGAGAGAGAGAGAGAGAGAGAGAGAAATAAAGTAAACAAGTCATTTGCCTTTAGAGCATCTATAGTAGAAATTATTTTTGTGTTATTGTCGGTCCAATAAACTCCTTGTTGATTTTTTCTAGATGCGGAACATGGTTCTTGACTTGAAGTTTTGCCCTGCAAAATAAGAGTTATTGTCCGTAATATTTTTTCATTTTTTAAAGAAAAGACAGCTGCGCGCACTTCGCGCTAACAGCGGGCACGTCAGAGTGGCCGCCAGCTGGCGGTCATTCTGACTTTCGAATCACTTTTACTACTTTTTTTTTTTAATGTCAGAATTTATTTTATTTTATTTTCTCACTTACATTTTTATTTATTTCCTAATCACACACAAAAATTTCTCAAAAAGCGCAACGAAAATAAATTTACTAAGGATGCTCTTAGTAGTTGCACTAAAAAGTAAAAACAAAGTAGAGGGGAGTGTTGTTATTTCCAAGATAAAGAAGGGGTGGATTGCAAATGTACATAACGTGCGCCTGTGCTGGCCACAAGACCGTAGTTGCCTTGCCGTTCAACATATGAGCTGAAGAATTTCAAAAAAGCGATACCTCTTCGTCTCCCTTCGTCTACACAACCCAACGAGGTGCTGTTAAATGCCGAAGTCATGACAACGACGTCGTCGAGGTCCGTGATTGCTCGGGTCGCACCGTTTTTCATCTCCCGGATCCGCCAGAACCAGAGGCTTTTGACTTCTGCGGCTTCGTCATCCTCCGCCCTTCCGGTTCAGCACCACCCAGAATTCACATCTCCAGATAATTCCGTTTTTATGACCGACAGTTGCGTTCGGGTACACTCAATTCTCTCTCGCTCTGGGGAAAACCCTTTTTTTTTTTATTTATTTTTTTTTTTTTTATTTTTAATTTGCTAGGTTTCATCTTTTGTCAACACTAACATTATATCGTTTGATTTTTTTTTAATTATCAGAAATTTAATTTTTTAAATGTGTTTCTTAGTATTTATGTTGCACTAATACCCTATAATTTAAAGGGTCTCGTGGAGTGTTTTTAATTGGGTATATATTGGAATTACTGGAAAAAGGACCGAAATTAAGATATTTTACAGTACCCTATATTGATTGGAACAGCCCTGTGAGGGTATATATTAAATTTAAAGGTGTTATTTCCAAAAATTGTTTCATTTTATGGGATTTTACGAACTGCCCATTGTGTGGTGGTTTTGCAAATGCCAAAAGGGCTACAAATTGGAGAATTAGCTATGTTTGAGGGATTTTTTTTTTTAATGAAAAGTATGAAGAAAAGAATATAATGTATATTATGGTAAAATTGTGTTCTTCTTTGAGCTTGAAGAATTCTTTGGACCTTTTGCTCCCCTATGATATAAGAGATGCTTATAGAGATTCTCAAGGATTGGTCTCTGAACTTAAGTATAAGGCCTAAGGGATTGAGTTTTGTTATGTGTGCCTTGGATGATAATGAAGATCTGCAATTCAGTGAGCTCAGGTAGAGATACAAGCTCTGAGAAAAAGTTGAATACTTTAAGATGAAAAACAGTGCAGAGCTTTTCTATTTTGGTTGCTGGGGTATCTTATAAATTTGTATTCCTATCAAGAAAAAACAGTACTTCGTTATTAGTTTGAAGGACAATTTGAGTTGTTCTTTGAACTTCAATAATGCGTATGTTGTCTACTGAGCATGCTAGTACTGTTTATATTGTTAATTTGGTGAATTTCAGTTTCAGTATCTTTCATCTTTTTATGCATTTTATGGTCTCTCATGAACCATTGGTGTTTGGTTCTAAATATCAGTGTCTGAATTTCATTTTTCATTCGAACTGCTGTTCCATTTGCCTAGTCTTTTTTCTAGTGAGACAGCAGCCCCTTACACAAGATGTTGGGGAAAACCTTGCTTCTTAAACAGTTTGCATAATATAGTAATAAATTTAAATTTGTTAACTTCAAGTTTCCCCCCTGACAGAGAATGAAGGAGCTGCAAGCTGGTGAATCCAATAAAAAGATGCTACGCTTAAGCATTGAAGCTGGTGGCTGCTCTGGATTTCAGTATGACTTTTCCCTAGATGATAAGGCCAATACTGATGATAGGTATGTATGACTCTCACCATTAGGATCATAAAAGAGTTGTTTTGCTACAAAACTGAACGATATTATTTCTCAATTTCTTTGAGGGAAACATTGTTCTTAATGGCCATAAGGCTACCTCATCAACACGCTTAGTCGTAAGAGTATTGGTACCTTGCTCAGGTTCTCCAACTCATCCCTAAACCATCAAAAAATTCCTTTCCTTTATTTTTCATTTTATGCATTATTTTGTCTTCTTCATTCCCTAACATACATCCTCTGTGCTTTTTGCATTTTCTAGAATTTTCGAGCAAGATGGTGTAAAACTGGTGGTCGATAATATCTCATTTGACTTTGTCAAAGGTGCAACTGTTGATTATGTAGAGGAGCTGATCCGTTCTGCTTTTCAGGTCAGTAAGTTTTACTTTTCTGATGTACACTGCTAGAATTATCCATTTTACTGTGCTGACCTGATGATGGAAAGATACTCTGAAGAGTTATATGCATCACTATTCACTATAGTTTATTCTACTTTCTCTTCTTGGCTCCATTGGCTTGGCCATGATATGGTTGCAGTTGACAAGTATTCAGCAAAGACTTGACTACAACCTTTAGAAGGTTCATTCATTAATTTCTCGACTACCATGATATTTACATTTACCAGATTAATTCCCTACCCTATAAGCCAGGCAGGCCCATCTGATAATCTGACAGAACAGATGCATACATACAGATAGAAACATATGTTTTTATTATAGGTTATTTTATTTTTGACAAGTAGACAGTACATACATGATTCTGTCTTTTGTCTTCCATATGAAATCCTTTGCCCCTAACTTATAAAAAATTGATATTGTTTTCATAGCATAAGTATCTGTTACAGATTTCCGTGGGTGTTCCATGTTGTTTGAGTTAGAGTTGGGGAGGTACTGGTTGCTTATTTGGTTTAGGCATGAAATCGGTGGTTATTCTGGATTTTGGGGGCATTTGAGGCAGTGTGTAATTGGAGGATTATTTAGCTATTTAGAATTATGAGAACACTTGTGGGCTACAACTTTTGGAAATTAAGCTCACCAATTATGACAATGCCTAGATATAAACCAGAATTCTACTGTTTCTTATAAAGGCTAGCAGTTTTTCTGTGTGCTATCCTTCATTTCCTGTACTTTCTTACAACCATGGCCAACCAATGCCTTGAAAAGAGAAATAAAGTTTAGTTTGTGTAATAGTTTATTCTTGGGAATTTAGTAAGCTGGCACCAAATTGCAATTGATTACCAGAACATATATGGGAGCTAAGAATCTTCACTAATGTTGTTTCACACTCTGCTATGAGAGTATGGATTTTCAAAATTGGACTGAATTTAGAGAAGGCCTGGATAGCTGATCTAGAGCCTATAGGAGATGATCTAACTTGAACAATTTCTGAGTCACAAGAAAACTTTTTCAGTATGTGATTCTCAATTTTTAATTTTACAAATTTAATTTATGAATTGAATATCAAATGTCAACCATTTCGCATATTACTTTCTTTAAACTTCATAACTGGTGGATTCTTACATGGAGTCCTTGCAAGATTGTTTATGCTTAATTTCTTACCATCTTCTATTTCAAGTTATGGCCTTGTACTTCAAATTCGTATCTGGGGAATCTGGGCAAAATTTTCAGGGATTATATTTTGTTTGTTTCCATCACAGTTACGTTAAATTTCTGAAGATAATCTCATTCCCTTATCATCGGCAGGTATCTAATAATCCAAGTGCTGTGGGTGGCTGTGGTTGTAAAAGCTCCTTCATGGTGAAACAATAATTCGAGACCCTCTCTTATGTAGCACACCTTTGTGCTCGTACACATTCAGCTTCAAAATAGGCCTGTTGTCGATTTGGAATAAAAATACATTTGATGTTGTCACACACACACCGTCCATGACAAGCAGTACAGCACTGCATACTGGAACCACATAGTTAACGAAAGGTGAAAATTTCGGTTACTGTGAATTTGTTATAGTGAAATCGCAAATTGATAGTCATGATAGTAGGTAGGCAGCTAGATTCGTGATGATTCTTTATCGGCCTATAAGTTTACACTTGCAGTTGTGCTTGGAAGAGGTTAGTTTTCTAATTGATTGGGACATTCTGGGAAGAACACTTCTTCACTTCTGATGATGGATTTTGTAAACACAACTTAGAGTCAGTGTTTCATTTGTATGTCTTTCAGTTGTATTGCTCATTAATAAGAGGCTTTGTCATCTGCTTACTAAATAAACTTGATTTGAAATGCATTGAAGCAATTGAGTAAATTACCAAAATGACCTCTCAGACTATAGTACTATTACTACTTTAGTCTTCTAGTTTTAATTTTGTCCAATGATGTTTTTAGTTATCTACTTTTAAGTCCTCAAATCATTTAGGGTGTGTTTGGAAACCTGGAAAATGAGTTCTGGAAATCATTTTCCAAGTTTTCATTGTTTGGATGTGCTTGGAAAATCAAGTCAACGGAAATCATTTTCCGTTGACTTTGGAAAATAGGATTGTTTTGGAGGAAAATGACTTCGTCTTTTTTTGGGAAGTCATTTTCCAACTTTTACACCAATATCACACCACCACCAACATCATCAACACCATACCACCACCACCTCACTATCACAATCACCACCACTACTGCAACCGTCACCACACCACCACCAACACCATACCACTGCAACCACTGCCACCACCAACACAACATCACCACCATCACCACCATACCACCGCAATCACCATCGTCGTCACCACCACCACCACCATACCACCGCGACCACACCACCACCGTCGCCGCCACTACCACTACCATACCAACGCAACCACCGTCGCTGCCACCACCACCACCATCACACCACCACCACTACCACCATCGCCGCCACCACCATACCACTGCTACCACCACCATCACACCACCGCCGCCGCCACCGCCACCATACCACTGCCACCACACCACCACCATCACATCACCGCCATTACCACCACCGCCGCCGCCACTACCACCACCATACCATTGCCGCCACCACCACCGCCACTACCACCACCGCCGTCGCCACTACCACCACCATACCACCGCTGCCACCACCACCACCATACCACCGCAACCACCGTCGCCGCCACCACCATACCACCGCAACCGTCGCCGCCACCACCATACCACCGCAACCACCGCCACCACAAGTTATTATTATTATTATTATTATTATTATTATTATTATTATTATTATATAACAAATAACACCACTACCACTACACCACCACCACCACCACCATAATATTTTTGATATATTATTAGTTTTTTTTTATATTTAAAATTATTATTATATTATTATACATGTTGTAATATTCTAAATAAAATAATTAAAATGTTTAATTATACAATTCTACTCATTTTCCAGAAAAATGAACCAAACACACAAAAACAGTTTTCCAGAATGCAACCAAACACTGGAAAGGAAAATGTTTTCCGGAAAATGACTCATTTTCCAGAAGTTATTTTCCTTCTTTCCAAACAGACCCTAAATCTGTTTACTTCTTTGAAAGTTGAAACATAGAGTGGCCCTGTTTTGGTAAAAAATTGGCCTATAGGCCAATTTTGGCTTATTTGACTACTATTAATTGTTTTGTTTAGTTAAAATATCAATATAAATGTTTTGTTAATTAGCTTTTTGCAACTCCAAAAGGCTAAAATTCAAAATGCTACTCCAAACAACTTTTTCAATTAGCTTTTTGAGAAATGAAATTATACCAAACAGCTATCAGCTAACAGCTAATTTACCAAACATTTTTCTACAATCACCTAATGTTATCAACTATTTATACTTTCTAATTAACACAATCAGCTAACAGCTAACAGCTATCAGCTAACAGCCATTTTACCAAACAGGGCCAGTAACTTTATACCCAAAGCTGGTAACCTAGCATTAGTATAGGCTCATAGAACCAAGTTGGTACAAACATTAGAATTAGAATCAGAATTGTAATTGAAAGGTAGTTGTAATGGATTTAAGTACAACTTTCATTGTTTGGTAATAAATAGGAATTAAAATTAAAATAAATAAATAAGTATATAAAATATATCAAGCATACACACACATATATGTGTATATATATATATTAAGTTTAGCATTGATTGTATTGATAATGATGGTCTTATTGTTGTCTCTTTTCTTATTCTATTGTTCAAAAATAAATAAAGGAACAATAATGAGTTTTATGATTACGAGGATTTAAATCTAATAATATGATAATAAAAGTAAACAAACAAATATGTTAATGAGTATCAAATACGATAGTAGAGTACAAAACTTTCCAACCAAACGCCACCTAATTTTCTCCGCTAATAGAGGTATTCTCCACTAGGAAAGTTTTGGTAAATGAAAATCTAAATACATGATATTATTAGGAAAGTTTGAGTCAATGAGAATCTAAATCCATGATATTAAGGAAAGTAAATTCCACCTAAAGGAGGTGAGATTTTTTTTTTCGGGTGACTGAGAATCTATCAAATTTATGCAATTAAATATTTATCTTTTTTGGTGTCAAGTAAAAAGTCTCTTATAGAGTTAATACCACAAATGATCCTCTGACTATTGGACTAGTTCTCATTTTAGTTCTCGACTTTCAATTCGACCAAAACACGTACCTTGATTTTTATTTTTAACCACAAATAGTCCCCTGTTAAAATTTATGTTCAATTGGTGTTAAATTTAGGGGCGTTATTATCAAATCAATTGATATGATTGTGATTACCTCTTTTAGAGAATTATGTGGGTTAATTTAATATGAATATGATCCATGAATTGCTCCTTTAGCCTAACGTCACGCCTATGCTCAATCCAAGTATCCCAACAAGGCAGTTTATATCGTGCACCACAGTGCACATAGCAATATGCACCTAGGCACAAAACGCGCACGTTTCTTGCTGACGTCACTCCGTCCGTCCGAACAGACCAAACTCCATTATGTGTATTTAGTTAAAAGTTTATGTGTATTGTGTTATGAGTTTATGTGTATTATGTTAACCAAACCCCATTATGTGTATTCAGTTAAAAGTTTATGTGTATTATGTATTATGTTAGATTATGTGTATTCTGTTATGAGTTTATGTGTATTCAAAATAGATGATTTTTTTTAACAACTTAACAGAATGACGTCGTTTTGGGAGGCGGTCACACTGTGCTATGTGCGCCCTGGTACATGGTATAACGATTGTCCCAACACCATCAATTGTAAGTGTTAAATAAATGCACTTTGGAGAAACTCTCAGCCGAGTTGGTCAAACAATTCACTTGATAATGACAAGCTTTCAAGTTTGATTCTCAGTAGGAGCTGCTTATTAGTCTTCTTAGTTTGAATCGATAAGTTATGAGCATAGGTGTGAAAATAAATACAAATTCTAAAGGAAAATATTTTGTGTACTCCCACTTTATACTCCAAACTTTTACTCTCCCACACAAAATATTGATGTAAATACTTATATTGTAACCCACATGAAAAATTAGCTTATCAGAGCGCGCCACATTAGGGAGTAAGATTTGGGACAAATTATTGTGTGGACCACGGTCCAAAATAACGTCGTTTTGATGTTAAAAAAATTCCATGCTTCGCACGCGCATGTTAAAATAATGAATATTCTGGAGTAGGATAATGTATTTTATGAGTTAGAATAATGTACTTTATATGTGTTAGAATAATGAAATTTCTGAGGTAAGATAATGTATTTTATGAGTTAGAATAATGTACTTTATATGTGTTAGAATAATGAAATCTCTGGGGTAAAATAATGTATTTTATCAGTTAAAATAATGTACTTTATGTGTTATAATAATGATTTTATGAGTTAGAATAATATATAATGTCCTTTATGTGTTAAAATAATGAAATTTATGTGATAATATAATGTATTTTATGTGTTAAAATAATATATTTTATAAATTAAAATAATGTATTTTATGTATTTTTGAATCATTGTCTACACAATTGTATAGAACTCAATTCTAGTTGTCGGAACAAAAGAAATGCGAATGAAAAATACAAATTCATTACCTAAAGAACCAATTTGTAGCTTGGAAGATTGGTCACACTTTAGGGCCTTTTCGATATGTCAACGTCCAAGGACGAGTAGTTACGATGTCGTTTTGACCAAGCATTCGTCTTCATTCTGTTCCTCCGAATTGCCTTAAACCCTGAACCCTAGCCTCGCACGCCAAACCAATTAACTGAAGAAAAAAATGTTGTCTTTACTGATTAAAACCTCACGCAATACATCAATACAGCTTTGCCGTAACCGCACCACTCTCAAACTCCACCCATTCACCTCCATTTTCTCTTCTCTCTTGTCTGAATCCGCCAATCCTCCCAACCCCAATCCCACTCCAGAAACCCCAACCTTCAACTTTAATTGCAGTTTTCCAAGCAAGAAAAACGATGGGTTCTCTTCATTTTCTCACGATAAATTGAATTTTCTATCTGGGTCTTTCTCTGGTGGGGATGTTCGGTTCTTGAGTTCACAGGCTGGGGCTGCCGTGGAGGAGGCTTCCACTAGCGATGGGCTTACAGTGGAGGGCATAATTGGAAATAATTGGAGTATTCTTGATGAGAGCGAGAGTGATTGGAAGAGCCATGCCTCTTCCATTGCTCAGTCCATTCAGCTTATCAAGAAACGCCTTAAGGTATGCTTATAAAATATTACATGTGCATTGCTTTATATGCTATGGATTGATCTTCCCAGCTTTAGTCAATTGTTATACCATCTGCAGTTAACATATTTTATTCCTGAGTTAACATTATTAACTTGTAAATAAATTGAAGGCACATAACATGATAATTACATGTGATAATTACATACGCATAAATTGTTAAGTTCATGTACAAAATATTTTAAACCCAGACACATAAGATGTTGGTTAACATGTTATGTGTCCACATTTAACATTTTCTGTATCTGCAGTCAGCAGTTTATGTGTAATTACCACGTGACGTGTCTTTAATTTGTTTACATGTATAGAAATGGTTAATTGCCAGTATAGAATGTGTCAATTGCAGGTATAAAATATGAAAGTTATTTTTTCGCCGGGTCCACAATGCAATATAGACCCGGGTACATGGTATAATTTTTCCAGCTTGAGTTATCCCAATCATTAATTATTTTAGATGCATGTGTTACATGGATAAGTGATGGATGGTAGATTATCATTACCCCACTATAAAGTTTTAGGTTTTGTTGGCTTTTAATTTACTGCTTAGACCGGTTTATTTGGTATTATATAGTGAAGTTATGATATTCTTGTTAATTAAATAGGGGAATGTATATTTTCTGGCAGTGCATTATATTTGATTTGATTGCTGAAAATGATTTGGTTCTGTGTTATGCATTGATGGTGATTTCTTACTTTGGCCCGATCTTTATCGATAGTGGAAAAGGCTGATTCATAGGCTTGAGGTACTATCAGCAGAGCTCAACAAGCCAGATATTTGGGATGATGCTGTTCGAGCAGGAAATTTAAGCAGGGAGCATGGTTCTCTAACAGGTAAAATGGAGGAGGTCAAGGCATTTGAGCAAGAATTGCTTGAACATATTGATATGATTAAGCTTGCTCAGGAAGAGAACGACAAAGATTTGGAAATGGTGCGTAGGTTATAACATTAGAATTGTTTGATTTCTCATGGTATCTCAGTAGGTTATAAAGATTTACACTTGAGTATGGAGTACCACCCTTTAGTTGAGCATTACATGTTCTGAGATTTTAGTTACCGATTATTTGATGACTCTTTGATATGAGAAAATTCATTTTCGGTTGCTGTATTTCACTTTCTATTTTATTCTTTGGGTGACAGGAATCGCTTAAAGCTCTATCAAGGGTTAGAAGGAGCATAAAAGAGAAAGAGCTTGAAGCTTTATTGTCTGGAGAGCATGATTCTTGCTCTTGTTACATTGAGGTCATTTCGAACTGAAGTTTTAACTGCCTTTTTCTGGGTTTATATAATTGTCAATAACTCAACAGAGATGTTGTTTACGCATAATTAGGTTCAAGCTGGTGCTGGTGGTACTGAGAGCAATGACTGGGCTTCGATGGTCATGCAGATGTATAAATTATGGGCTCAGCGTCGAGGATTTGGAGTTACTGTAGTGGATGAAATGCCTGGTGAGATTGCGGGAATCAAGGTGTAAATTCTTGCCATAAATTTCTGTCTTTCTATGATCTAGGCCCTGTTTGGACGTTTGGTAACATAGTAATTGGCTTATTTGACCACTATTAGTTGTTTGACTTGGTTAAACAGCCAATATAATTATTTGATTAATTAACTCTTTGTAACAGCTTATTGCTCCAAGACGCTAAAATTCAAAAAGCTGCTCAGAGCAGTTTTTTCGAATAGCTTTTTGAAAAAGTCATTTTGCATGTAATCAGCTATCCGCTAACAGCTAATTTACCAAACATCTTTCTACAATCAGCTAATGCTATCAACTAGTCAAACCCACTAAACCCAATCAGCTAACAACTATTTACCAATCACCCCCTAGTGTTTTCAAAATAATGCCAGATAGAAGATGATTAAAAAGCAACAGAGTGAATAGGGAGACATATCAGTCATAATTGTGATCTTACTATGTCTTGATCATTCCTAAAGTATCTCAACGGGAGAATGGTGATTTTGTGTGTTTTTCCTGTTATATAACCAGTAAATCGGGCACTGCTATTGGTGCACTTAAACATTGTTGTTGCTTTTGTCATGAACCTTGGAGTTTCTAGTCATTTTCTTCTGGTCTCATGGTCTTTTTCACTTTAAGGTGCTTTTTTCCTGACCATACAATACTATTGTTTCTCAGCGTGCAACAATTAAAGTTGAAGGTGAACATGTATTTGGATATGCCAAAGCCGAAGTAGGGGTGCATCGCTTAGTACGCATATCACCCTTTGATAGTGCAAAGCGGAGACATACTTCGTTTGCTGCTGTTGCAGTAATACCTATTCTAGGCGATGGGTCTACACGAGTTAAAATCGAGGAATCTGACCTTCGGATTGAGCGATTTCGAGCAGGAGGAGCCGGTGGTCAGCACGTGAATACAACTGAGAGTGCTGTGAGGATTACTCATATCCCTACAGGAGTTACTGCTTCTTGTCAAAATGAAAGGTAATAGACATCGTTTTGGTTAAAAGTGTGGAGTAACAAGCTACGTTCCTAAACCAGCTTGGTTGGCGTGAGTGGCCGTGCACTCTCATCCCTTAAGAGAGGTCGGGAGTTCGAACCCCCTCTCGTATGGAAAAATCAATCTGGCCAGCACTTTGCCCCTTAATTGGGCCGGTCCGGTGCGAATGAGGATTAGTCTGAGTATGGTATGGGTTTAAAGGTGCCTCCTACAGTTAGGGACTGCTCAGGACACCTCATGGTCTGACCAAAACAAGCTACGTTCCTAATCCACCTTTGTTACCATTCCAAATGGGTGATCACAGGATCGAATCCCAGTGGTGGAGGCATTCATTCTTTGGGCTGAAAAAAGATTGAGAAAGTATAGAACAGATACTAGTTACTACCTTATAAAGAATCATGAGTGTTTCAAAAAAGAAATATTAAGAGCTCTTAGCTTTGCCTATAATCAGGTCACAACATCAGAACAAGTCTTCTGCCATGGCTGTGCTTCAATCTCGGTTGGACCAGCTTGAGATGGCTCGCCAGGCTGCGATGAATGCACAACACACGCAATCCCTCACTGATATTAGCTGGGGGAACCAAATTCGTACATACGTTCTCCAAGTATGCACAAAATTTTTTTACCCCTATTATATTCATCGGATTATACACTGTGAAACCATCATCATAACTGCTGATGAATCACTTTCGTATGTTTTCTTGCAGCCATACCGCATGGTTAAAGATCTTCGAACTAATTACGAGGTTTCAGATCCCGATTCTGTTCTTGACGGGGATATTGATGACTTCATCTTGAACTATCTGTCAGTATCCTTTGACAATGATGACAAATGACTTCTCTAACTCAATCACCGGGGAACCTTACCAATAGACAGCATAGTTGGTCGAATGGACGATAAAATTACCATCAGAACAACATATTTCTTCAATCTTTCTTCTGGTATTTGAGATGTTGTATATAATTATGTTGAAGATGATGATGCCACCAGTCACACTGCATTTGTTTTAGTTCATAGGAGATAGGTATTATACTTGATTGGAGTTTTGGTCCTTTGAGCAGGTTGTATTGGCAATTCTGCAATAAGCTTGGTAAAAGTTACTATAGAGAGTTCAGTTGCTTCCATTATTGTATTCACCAACTTAACTTATCTGACTTTTGTTTTGGACAATTAAATTAAATTTCAAAAAAAAAAAACATCTGGATTTTGTGCTCTGTTGCAAATTTATTTATTTTTAAATTTAATTTTGCATTATACAACCTACACTATTGTCGCCTTCCGTATATAAAGACATGTAATGTACATGTAATGTATTGTATGGTTGGTTAATGAAAATCCTGATTACCTACACTATTGTCTGCTTCCTTTCTCTTTCTTACTCTTTACATTATCACTATTTGATCCGTTTCACTGGGAAAAACGCTAAGGGCTAAAGGGGATTATAACAATTTTAGTATAATTGCACGAGGATCAATTGTATTTTTTGAGTTTAGTAGTTTAATTGCATTTTCTTATGTAATTAAACTATGACGTGATGGTATATAATTATTATCCTACAAAACCTTGAGAAAGGAACCAAAATTGGATTTAGATATGAATACTAACCGGCTACTTTAGCTGAGAAATATGTATTGGGACTTGGACAAAAAGAAATGAAGTATAGATACAAAAAGAAGAGAGCTAAGAAAAGTGAATTCCAGCCTTGTTAAACAAAGAAAGTAGGTGCATGAAATCTACTTGTGTGATTTTGGAAGACCTTCTATCTTCATATTTCCCTTCCTTCAACACTGCCAAAACTCTTTCTTTGAAATCTGATCCTTTAGCCTCACCATCATCATCCATATCCATCTCATTCTCATCATCCCCATCATCATCATTCCCCATGCTCAAGTCTCCAAGTGTATCTCCCAAGGCTGAAACAGCCGAGGCCATATCGATATCGATGTCCTCTAACGATCCATTCTCAGGTATCTGCAACGCTTGCAGAGTTTTATAGTTCTTCTCTAGCAACGAGAGCACCGTCTTTTGCCTAAAAATCGCGCCCAGAGTTTTGTTCTTCCTATTGAAACAGATTCGAACTAAACCATCCCACTCCTTGAAATTCAGATTCTGAAACGGCCTCATTGGCTCGATTCTAACTACCGAAGAATCAACCTTCGGGGGAGGTCTGAAGTTGTTTCGTCCTACCTTAAGAAGATAAAACACTCGAGCTAAGAGTTGAGTGTTCACAGACAGGCGGCAATACAGAGTATCACCCGGCTGAGCAACCAGCCGCATTGCAAATTCTCTTTGAAACATGATCACCGCAGCCCTGAATAGCGGCCTATGAGCCAGTAATTTGAAAGTAAGAGGAGATGAGATTTGGTATGGGATATTCGCCACGCAAATGTCAAAATATGGAAGGTCACACTTCAGAACATCCCCTTGTATAACCTGAACCATTACAATGAAATTATAAGTTTTAGTAGGCAGAGTGAAAAATAAGGAAAATTTTCAATTGAATTCCAAGCTCAATAAGTGAATTACATACCTTTAACTTACTAGATGGGGTTCCTTGAAATCTCCGTTGCAACTCAAGAACCATACGAGGGTCAAGCTCGATGGCTATGACAGATTTTCCAGCTTCTAAAAGCTTCTTGGTTAAGTTACCAGTACCGGGACCAATCTCAAGGATGACATCGGTTGGTTTGATGCCGGATTTCTCAACGATTGTGTCAACCAACTGTGGATTTTTCAGTATGTGCTGACCTTTCGACTTGTGAAACTGAATTCCACCCTGGTAGTGAGGGTTTGCACCAGCCGAGCCACGGTGGTTTTTGTCTTTGCGTATCTTCCCTCCCGCCATGGTTGAATATGCTACTCTGCTCTCTGAGGAGATAATTAGTGTTTATGAATGAGAATTGGTGTGGGTGTAATTGAACCAAACACATTTAGTATATAGCAAACTCACCAACTAACTATTACACACGCTATAATCATACAACAGCTACTCCAAGCAACTTTTTCAATTAGCTTCTTCAGAAAAGAAATTATACCAAATAGCTATCCGCTAACAGCTAATTTACCAAACACTTTTCTACAACAGCTAATGTTATCAACTAGTTATACCCTCTAATTAACACAATCAACTAACAGCTAACATCCATTTACCAAACATGGCCATACTTTCAGATAACTTTGACAGAATCATAAGATAGCCAAAAGATTACATCATGTTGACAATTAGAATATGAACCATACCACTATGAAGAAACATTATTGTACAATCATGGTATTTTGAAATCATGTAATGAAGCTTCCGATTACCACAGATAAAAGTTAATGAGAGTACAAAGTTTATGATAATGCAGAAACGTGATTAAAGCATATAAATCAGTGGAGAACAAAGCCACAACACATATGAAAAGTGAATGACAGAATGAGTGTGTTTGCATCAGTATAGTGTAGAATATTTGTTCCAGATTGTGATGCAAATAAGCATCTCCCTTTCATCTGTGTGCTCTTAGAGAACTCGTATGCAAGTCAATATAATCAAAACTATTTCTTCCAAAATTTGATACATATAATCATTGAATTGAATACGGCTGAAAGAACTACCAGTTTTATAAAATATCAAAACTTTTAAATTTAAAATTTAAAAAAAAAAAAAAAAAAAAACTAAAGCAACAATCAGAAAAAAAAGCTTATTAATTATTTGAAACAAAATCAATATCAATATAATCAACTAAAGTAGAAAGAAAAAAAAAAAAAAAATTACCTCCACGCCGCGAATGAGGTGCCGCTGTGCGATTTTGGGATGTTTGCGCGGCCGCGGCTGTAGTGGAAATTGGAAGAATGCTAGGAATTAGGGTTTGAGGTTTCCTAAAAGTATGCCATTGAAAGATCAGGTGCAGTGAGTATACATTAGTTTGAGCCCGTATAGTTTTAATTTAATTTTTTATAATGTTAAGTTGATATTAATATATAAAATTTATGTATTCAGAAATTATATTAAAAATATTATTAAATTTTAAAAATATTAAAGAAAATAAGTATAAATAGATAATAAATAATTAATTTGACTAATAAACAGTAATAGGTAAGATGAGACAAGTTGTTCTGCATGCATGAGAAACCAGAGTTACGTACGGTTGTATTGCTTACAATACAACAACGTAACAGATCGAAGTGTTCTATGGGTTTATGTTAGTTAGTTTGTTAGTTGTGGCTGTGGCTCAACTCCACGTATATATATAGCTGCAGCACCATCCATTTCTTCAAAACGTAACTCCTTCCACTTGCATGTCCACGTTCGCATCTTCAAGAAACCTAAGCTTGTAATCATCATTATTCATCAATTCATTCTTTCCTTCGTTTTATCCTTGTAGGAGTTGTAGCACTACAACAAACAGTGGTGGAGCCAGAAAGTTAGGGTTGAGGGGTCAAATGTATAGAGGAAATTTATCATCTTAGTCAATATTAATACCAACCACACAATATCCTCTAATCCTCTAATATAAAAAAGCCACACGGAGTAGTAAATGTATTCTTGGCAAAATTTTCCGCCCAACAAAAAACGACAACCTTTGGTATTGCTTGGTAATTGCGGATTTGCGGTCGAAATGGTTCATATGGCCATAATTAATGATAGGCATTAAATATGGTTATATTTAATTAGCTGCTTGGCATTTCCAATATGACGATTGATTTTACAAGCTCATCGTAAATCTACATCTGGACCATTGGTATAAGAGCATTTCCCATTCCTAAACCTACTTATAAATAGGTCTCTTTGTTTGGAACACAAAGACTTCAACTATAATACATCAGTTTGCTTCCGAAAAACACAGAAAAATCGACAGAATACATACTACAGTTTTGCGGTGACATCTCTCCATTGGGTGTACATATGAAATCCTGGAACAAAGAGGGAGTGAAGCCATCAGGGGTAAAGAAGTATTCTTCCACGATAAAGAGGTATGTATTTTTTTTAATGTTTGTCCATACATGTTTTTTTTAATATAGATTATAGTATACAGAACATCTTTTTAATTTCTTCATGCTCATACATCCAAAGATCATGTTGCTAATTACCTCACAAAGTATGAAGAAGGCAGAGTTTATGGTGTCAAATTCTTTTTGCAAACTTTCTCAGACATATGTATTGTCTCAAATCTTTTGCATCTTTGAAAGCTAAAGAAGAATTTGATACGGCCGGACAGCACAAGGAGGGACACTGCCGGTGGAACTTTTGGGGTGGCAATCATCGTTAGATATGCTGAATGTCAAAGAAACTACACGGCAACCACCGCGCGGCCATGTTCTGGATGGCTGCGGTGAGTTCATGCCAAGCGGAGAAGATGGCACCCCAGCTGCCCTCACTTCCCTGCCTGTTGCTGTCACCTGTTTTGAAGATTTTTTTATGGTGTCAAAATTTTTTTGGTTATTACAAGTTTGAGAATTTTTTTCGCAAACTTTCTTAGATATATGTATTGTCTGAAATATTTTGCTTCTTTCAAAGCTAAAGAAGAATTTATCAGGATTTTATCAACCCAAAGCTCAATGAAGAACAAGGAAAGTGTTAGTGCTAGACAATTATGTCTTAATGGCATTTTAAGTTTTGTAGGTATTAGACTGGATTTTGAGGTTTTATTTTATTGTGATGCATTTTGTTCATCTACAAATATGTATGTAGATGATTCCATGATTACTATTTTTAAGTGATTTTGCAGGTTATATTACATTCGAAGTTATATAGTGTTTTGTAAGTTTTTTTTTGCAGCAATCACTTTACAGAATCCGAAGAAACTATTCCAGGGAATTGCTTAAAGGACATATCATTGGCAAAGGAAGGAATGATGATGTTTGCCTACTTAGTGGTAATAGTCTTTGTTTTTTTTTTTTTTTTTTTTTTTTTTTTCACAGTACATACAAACTCATGTATTTGACTTATCAATTTGGGGGTGTGGGGGCCCTTAGGGTTGGGGTTCAGCTTTTTGGAAGACTGAATTATCAATTTGAATTCCCACTTGAAATTAATGTAATATTTATTTTTGATTTGATTTAAAATTATTTTATTAGATATAGTTACCAATGAATTAAGTGACGTGACTGTTATATATTTTATTGGGATTGTGCTGTATTTTAAAAATAATAATTTAGTATAAAATCATTCAGAGTCCAATACATTAAAAGTATATATATATATATATATATATATATATATATATATATATATATATATATATATATATATATATATATATATATATATATATATATATATATACACACTTTGCAATTAAACTAGCATGCAATGATATTAAAAACCTGATGAATTTGAATTTGAAATGTAAAAGAGAATTCATATAAAAGGAGACGTGTATAAGAAAAGCGCAGAAAAACAACTGTCTAAAAATGAAGCAAAATACTAGATCAGTTCGCATAGGCAAGAAAAGGAAGCACCATACTAAATGATTGTTACCAACTCTTCATCCATTCTCAATATTAGCTTAATTTATGTAGGGTTTAGAACAAAATGTGGTGATTTCTCTGTACAACATAAAGTCATAGGCCAAAGAACATAATAGTATTATACTATTATTACAAATTACAATAACCATTTAGAATAATCAAACATAGAAGCATGGACCAAAACACCTTTAGCAAGAGAAACAATTAACTTGCTTGAATAGTAGATCACAAATAGTGAATTCTAGAATCATTACTGCTAAAATATACTGTTATGAGCAGGTACAGGTAGAAATATTAGGCAGATTTGTTCCCAATCTTAACTCGGATTGGCAATTGAAGCAAATATACCTCAAAATAGCAAATAAACTAATCTTGGTATGAAATTCATATAGAAAATTATTTTGCATGTGCTTTTCAATTAACTATTTCCGACGATCCAAACTATAAGAGGATTTAGGCCTAACCAAGATAGCTAAAATGATGGAGTTTCAAAGTGACGGAACAGAAATCACATAGAAGTTGAAGGTGAAGTGATCCTTCTAGAAAAACATGCCTTAATCGAGAGTAAAAAATTGCGTGTGACATGGTTGAGATTTCTATGCGATGCAAGCTAAAATGGTGTAGTTGCCAAGGTACAGAACGGAGAATTGGTTTTAGGAGATGAAGGTGAAGTGAACCTTCTGGAATCGGATAATGGGATTGACAGCCAAGCAGCACCATTCCTCTTGCTAATCTGATCAGCATCTCTTTTTAATTTTTTTTTTTTTTTGGTAGAGATCTCTTTTTAATTAGTAATTTGTAATATTACTAAATTTTTAGCACTAATATTGTGGTCTTTGAATTATATTGTTTTCTTTTCAGAGAATGAGAACACAATACCTAGGTTGTCAATGACTTCGTCAGATCTAAGATTGCCATTTAAATTCTAAAGAAGGCAATTCTCCATGATGCTGTCTTACGCAATGACTATAAACAAAAGTCAGGGACTAACATTAACTCATGTAGGATTGCTCTAAAGAAATAAGTGTTTGTACATGGTCAACTGTACGTTGTTGCGTCCAGAGTTAGCAACTCTACAAGTGTAAAAATTTTGATTGCCAATAAAGCTGAACTGATGGGTACTTTAACTCCCAATGTTGTGTACGGATGGCAGTATTTAATAATTTATAATTTTATATCAATGATTATTAATTTTTGTCATTCATTTTTTAGTCTGAGAACTTCCGTGACAGTCATTCATCTAAAACAACGTATACATGTAAAACAACTTTAGAAATTATTAGCATGATTATATTCAAATATATTTACTTAACTGGTATAAGTTTCATCCGTGCATCGCACGGGACAATTACTAGTTATTATATATATACCATATATGATTGTGCCAATTATTATTGATAATTAGTTTTAACTATACTATGTGCAATAATATATGAAATATATAATTATATTAGTACGATCGTTAAGATTGTCAAACATTAGTTTTGAATTTTTTACATAACACAAAAATTATACAATAGTAAAAAAATAAGAAAAATTACACTTTTTATCACTAAGTTATATGGTAATTGAAGAATTTATAATTATTAGTCGTGCTTACTTTTTGTCCCTAAAATATACTCCGTAATTGATGTTGCAAATTTCGTCCCTTTACTAACAAAACATTAGGAACGAAGTATAGCTTAGAAAGGAAGAGTGACCACAACATGTTATTAAAAGGACGAAATTTGCAACGTCAATTATAGCTTAGGGACGAAAAGTGAAAACGACCAACAATTATGGACGAATTCTACAATTATCCCATAACTTAGAGACGAAAAGTGTAACTTTCGAAAAAAAATTAGGAAGGGAGCCAAAAGTATAATTTATCCATATTATAATAATATATACATATATATTTACTAAAAATGGGACGGGGGTGGGGTGGGGTGGGGGGGGGGGGCAGGGCTCCCCTACCCCAAGGGGTGGCTCCGCCCTTGACTACAAATAACACTTTTAACATTGATTTTTGAAACATACAACGCCGATTTTTCTTCGATGTCATTCTGACAGACATAATAAATGATACGACGACGTCGATGGTTTAATAAAATCGACGTCATATATATATATATATATATATATATATATATATATATATATATATATATATATATATATATATATATTTTAAAAAAAAAAAAGACGTTGGTTTTTAGCTAAAAACCGACGTCGTATATATATATTCGCTACATTGTCCCTACAATGTCTATTCAAAAAAAAAAAAAAAATTACTCTGTATTCATTATCAATAAATTAATTAAGAGAAATATTTCATTAGTTATATTGTCTTTATTTTTCTCCAATGTAAAAAATATTCTTTACATTCAAATTCATCAATTGATTATATTCACTACATTGTCTATTATCTTTTTTTGTGCACTATTTTTTTAATTAAATATCAAAGTTATAATACAAAATAATGTTATATATTTATTTACCAAGTATTTTATTAATACCATGAACAAATTAAAAAAATATAATTAAGCCAATCATATTAACTACTTGAGGGATTTGTTAACAAAGAGAGTATTCAAATCACACAACAAATTGAAGTGGGAAACTACCTCACAATGTCCTTATTTGACAATCAACAGTTAGCGAATTTGACCAACAAATTATATCAATAATTGGTAAAAAGATATTTGAAAAAATTAAATTAACTGTTTAGATTAACATGTAAAATGACCTAAGGGGACGTTTGGTTCACGAAATGTAGAATTACCTTAAGGGGGCGTTTGGTTCAGGTCATCTTAGATTACCTAGGTAATCTGAGTCTGGTAATGTTATATTACCTTGTTTGGTTCAAGTTATAAGATTACCTGGTAATGTTATATTACCTGAAAGCTGACGTGGCGGTAATGTTTCAAGGTAATGTGATTACCTCCATTTTTTTAGGTAATCTTAGATTACCTTGAATTATTCCAACTTTGCCCTTGTTAACTAATCCTTATATTATAATAATAATAATAATAATAATAATAATAATAATAATAATAATAATAATAATAATAATAATAATAATAATAATAATAATAATAATGAAATTAATATATGTTTATATAATCAAATATACATGTGTATATTTATATATTAATATTTAAGCATTGATATACATTCATACATATAAATAAATACACACACATTATATATATATATATATATATATATACATATATATATATATATATATATATATATATATATATAATTGAGGACATTATTGTAAATTGATCCATATAACCTAAAATATAACCTTGAACCAAACAAGGTAATATTATATTACACCATCCAAACCAAACACACAAGGTAATCTTACATTCCTAACATCTCACATTACCTTCCTGGAGGTAATCCTATTACCTGGGGTAATCCAAGATTCCGTGAACCAAACGCCCCCTAAAGAATGTTAGATTGCTGAGAATGTTAGATTACTGGAAATGTTAGATTACCGTGTTTGGTAAAAACTGGGCTATGTAAAATGGCAAGGTAATCTAACATTACCTAAGTTTAGCAAGGGAATCACATTCCCTCAAAAAAGGGAAAAAATCTGATGTGGATACAATGTTTAATTCAAAGCAAGGTAATATTATATAACTTCGACCAAACATAGGCATGTTAAATAACCAACTGAATATAATTTTTGTTATCCAATATAACCCCAACCAAACACCCCCTAAGGGTGTACATATAATAATAACTAGTAATTCACCCGCGCGATGCACGGAAAAAAATTATGTTATTATAAATATAAATAAAAAATAGAAAAATTAAAATATTTTAAATTATTTAATATAATAATATTTTTGAGCTTCCATTGGTCAAGTATTTATTATTTTTATAGAATACAAAATTACAATTAAAATTAAAATTATAATTTTGTATGGTAAATATAATCTCTAATTATGTGCATATTCAAATAAACTTATAGAGATAATTTACATAATTACATTGATTTATTCTTAATTGTATTTCATCTATATTATAATTTTCACAATACAAATAATAACTAAGATAATTACATTTGGAAAGCAAATTTTAAAATTTGTATGTGTAAATTTAAACTCTAATTGAACACATTTATGATTATATAATATATAGCTATTTTATTTTTCAAAAGTATAATTTTTTATATGATTATATAATATATAGCTATTTTATTTTTTAAATGTTGTGTTTTTTTGTTTTTTGTTTTTTTTTTTTAATAAAGGATGTTGTGGCATTAATTGTAACATTAATTATTTCTCAAACCATATAGCTTTATTATATAAAGGATAAAGGATAATAATAATAATAATAATAATAATAATAATAATAATAATAATAATAATAATAATAATAATAGTTTTAAAATAATAATAATAATTTAATAAAAGAAATAAAATTAAAAAAATAATAATAAAACATATGGCTCCCCTTAGTTTTGCCACTTATCTCACATTGATGAGAAAAATGTGGGAAAAGTGGCATGTGAGCCTTGAGGCTCCTATAAAATGAGTCTTAAGGTTTCAATTTAAAAATTAAGTTTGCCCATCCGTTGATGGGCAAGTAGTGAGCTAGCGAAACTGGCTCTTATTATTCAAGGAGTCGAAACTCGAAATGGCTCTACAGTAAATTTTATTATTATTATTATTATTATTATTATTATTATTATTATTATTATTATTATTATTATTATTATTATTATTATTATTATTTTAAATATAGAGGTGTTTTGGAGAACTCATTCTAAAAAATGCTAAGTGAACATATTGTAAATTGCAATAATGTTTGTATTTTCAGTGGTTTGGAACAAATTGTTGCTTCAAACAATGGAATAACCAAACATCTTCTTTAACATTTTGATTTTTGGGTTACATCATATTTACCAATCATCCGATATCTTTAGGTTATATCTAAATTCTTTAAATTAGAAATTTCTTTATTCAACAATAATGGTTGAACTAAATGAACACTGAGCAAAACACCTAAAAGACAGGTACCGTTGATTCATTCATTAAATATATTAGAACCCGTTGCAACAAAAATACTCGGCTATTATTTTAAAAAAGTTTAGTAACAATTATAATGAATGTCCTATATTACATTGTATTCATATACTATGAGTTACATATTTAAATAAACAAATTAGACATTAAATTACTTATTATGTATGAACTTCTCATATATAATTTTGCATTGATATACTTTCAAATATTTATTTAATTATAAACATTGGGTAAATTTAATAAGAGTAAAATAAAGTACTAATTTTGCCAACTTTGATTGGGATGAGGTTCGAATCTAAGACCTTTCTTATTGAAATTAATGAGTAAGTTAACGATAAATTAACAAAAATTAATGGGGAAGATAATATTTAACGGAAAAATTAATGGATAATCATATAATTAAATTATGGATAAATTAGAAAATCTCAAGAAAAATTAAAATCTGATCAATCTGAGCCATTCATTTAATTAAAAAAATTTGACCATCATTTTTTTTTACCAATTATAGGCGTAATTCTCTTTGACTCTTATTAGTATAGTAGATTTTTTTACTCATTATAAGCGTAATTCTCTTTGGCTCTTATTAGTATATAGAAGTAGATAGTAGATTAAAGGGTGTAATTTAATAAATAAATAATGTAAAATATTCGAAATAAATATTCAAAAAATTATTTTCTTTTCCGTAAATCAAAGTTTAATAATTAAATATGAAATTCGTCCATTTTTTTTTATTACAAAGGAAGGGGATATCCATACAATTTATGCCTACACTGAGACTCGAAATTCTTTCATTTTTTTTTATTACAAAAGAAAAGGAGAACTCTATAGGAGAGCAACCGGATACCAATGGACCACAAGGTCCTTGGTATGAAATTCTTCCATTAATGGCTCATTTTATGAACGTTTCATTTCTGGATAAAGACATACAATTGTTGATATATAACAAAAGACGGCTATGGTTATGGTGGCAAATGCTACCAAATTGGTATAAATGAAGAAGTCAGCCACTGGATTTTCTCTGTTGGGTATTTTTATTTTTTATTTTTATATTTTTGAAAAAGGTTGTGGTAAAAATTGTTCAATTCATGTTATTTTTCCAAGTAAAATTATCTCCACATTTTAAAATGATCCAAAACCTAATTAACAAAATTATTTCTAACAGGCCCTAATTTTATATCCAGATTTGAGAACACTGCCCGTCAGAGGTTCTATAAAAGCCATGGAGCTGTGAGATTTTCTGTTCCCTCTTTTGCTTCTTTCACATACGAACGAGTATACGAATTTTCCTTTTCACATCTGAAAATCCGAGATATATACATACTGCTAAAGTCGATTATTTGGGATTTGGGTAATGGAATCGTCATCTTCGTCTTCTTCTTCGGTGATAACTCCCGAAGATGTGTTGGGGACGCTGATGAACGACGGTACAATCGACGCTATCCGGTTGAAAATCATCACTCAGCTCAAAGCCAATGTAATCTCCATTTTTTCTCAACGTTCTCAAATTCTTTAGTTTGTGGTTTTTTATGCTTTGCTGCTTGACATATGTTTATCGCAAGGAAATTTACTGTTTTTATTCTTGTTTTTTCAATCGTTAGTGGGGTGTATTATGATTATTTTGTAATTTGTTGATGATAATACTATTCTGTTAATCTGATTAAGGAAGAGTTGAAGAATACAACCATAAAAATGGTGGAACAGAGCAAGGTTCTTAACACTCCTGGGGCCGAGAAGCAGACCAAAAGAGAGCTTTTTGATGCACTTCGCCAAGAACTCGAGTCAGTATTTTCCCTCTTTCTTTCAAGTGCTGACATTTGTTATTCGTTGCTCATGTTTATTGCTTTGTTTCCGTATTGCTTAGGACAGTGCACTTAATATTTTCTAGCATTCAAGATTCTATTTTGCGAATCAAGTTCACCTTTGTAGTATTTTATCTAAGTGGCAGTAGATTATATGGTATTTTAAATACTTATAATTTAAGGAAAGAAAGTCATTCTTGTGCTTCTTACTTTGGTGTCATTAGTTTCTGTATGGAATTTGTTTATTGGGATTAAGCTCCAGCCCTTTCTATTTTTCTCTTAACAGTGCTTGGTTTAAGATTTAGATACCCATTACAGTTACTGGGATTGCATGGATAGCAAGTTACATTATTTTGAAGCTAGTGATGTTCATCAATCTGCGAAAAATATGAAGACGTGCATTTAGTACAAATATAGTCCTATAATTTTATCACTTTGGGAAAATAAGAACTCATCAATGGAGTCTTCACCACCATTATGGTCACTTTGGTTTTGTTTAGCTTAGTGTATAATGTTTACAGTTGTAAGCCTTGTGTGTAAACAAGCTTCACTTTCTTGGCTAATGATTTTGCATGTGAGAATACTCAGCTGTAGTCCAAGTCTGGGATAAATAACATCAAAGAAGTTGCTCATTGAAATTTTCATAGAATAATGGAGACTCTGGATTTTGAACTTCTAGGATTGTAGAAGTGGATGGTGATTTGGGTGCAAAGTTTTGATTGTACTGAATTATACTAGAAACAATTAAAACAACATAGTTTGGAATACTAGTAAGCAGAAGTGCTTCAGTTGATAGGACATGTGAGTGCCATAATCAAATATAGTCTTGGTAGTTCTTTGGGGTTGCTATATGTGTAGAAGCGGTGGTGGACTGGTGGGAAGAAACTTTTACTTACACTGCTATATATCTTAAAGTTTTCACTCTGGTTAATCATTTTCCTAACTGAAATTGCTGCTGCTATGTTAGTTTGAATTGTGCAGTGGAGGTTAGGTTTTTGACTTAGCCAAGGAGGAGACAATCCTTTTCATGTTTTGGTTTATAATAAAATCTCTACCTAGTGAATAGTCTCTTTATACCAAAAGTTCTGTAAAACCGAAAGCAATTTTGCTTTGTATGCTATATTTTCAAAGTTATAACTTTTGAAATCCCCCCCTAATGCTCTACCACTGTCCATATACTTTCTTTTCTTAAGTTGTCACCAAGCTCAATTATACCCCCTTGCATTTTCTGCTGTTTCTATATTTTTCAAAACAAAACCAATAAGAATGAGACAATTCAGCCTAAGAGATGATTCCATTCTATAGTTACATCTTTTACTTCTAAAACATCTTAAAAGGGTTAGGCATAATCAAGTTAGGCTCTCCAATTGTAAATATCATATTTTAAGCAAAGAGTTTTTGCCATGTTCTATCCCTCATGTTTGCACTTTCAACAGTCTTACCCTTCAAGTTCAAAGTTATCCTGTCAACATCCCCATTATTCCCAAAGTTTTGCATCATGAGTCCCTCCGGTACTCACGCTTTTAAAGCCAGTGGAAATCCATAGAGAAGCCAGCGTGGGTATTAATTAATATGTAAAAATTACCATTCTATTATTGATCCCTATAATTTCAAAAGTGCCCAGTTAATGTCCCCCTTATTCCCAAAATTTCCCTCTGTTAGGTCACTTTTAATGACATGAGTGCTGGGGAGACTTGGGGGTGGGGGACTTTGGTAATAGTGGGGACATTGATTGGGTAATAACCTGTCAAAATTGGAAACATGTGACACCAATAATGGCTAAAATGCTTCAATGTGGATTGCCAACTACTCCATCTCTTGTTGATGCATTATTATTGTGGTAGCAATATTTTATTCCAGACCTGAGGCACTTATTGTCCTTTTCCCTCTTACTTTGCTACACCTCTAGTCCATCAAAGTTGAAATTTGGCATATTCTTGATTAAGTCAAGGGCAAAGCAAAGGACCAAGCTCCAAATGACTTTTTTGAAAAGTATAAGAGGTAGAACCAAGCATACTATTTTACTGGCTTTTGAGTTTTGATTGGCTAGAGCTCCAAACCAAGAAAAGCAAAGAGCCCAAAGTGAACTCATGTGGCTGTTCAAGAGGTAGAACCAAGCAAGTTCTAGTAGAATGTTCGAATATAGATTTTTCTATCAATGCACTAGAGTTAGAATGGAATTATAGTGAGGTAAAGATTAACAGATCTGGCAAGGCACTCCAGGTACCAAACTCAACTACATTATTAATTTGGAATTCAAGCTGTTCATGTCTTCAAAAGCATAATATTGACAATCAAGGCTCAAGAGCAGCATACTTAGCTCAGTAGTCTTACTTATTTGAACAGTGAGAACTAACAATTTGAAGGTCTGGTTGGTTGTGAATGGCCACCACCCATTGGGGAGGCAGAAGCTGTATATGTAAGAAAATTAGAGAAAGAAGTGTATTGCTTATAATGATAATATTGTAATTCTCATACTGATAGGTTAAAGATCACATGCTTTTATAGTTAAATCATTGGCCTCTTAGACCAAGTTTATACCTGAAAGAGGCTCACTTGCAATCCTAGTTGGCAACCTTTTTAAATTTTTTCTATTTTAATAAATGACACATGGCTTGCAAGCTGTCAAATTGGCCTGCAAAAGGTAGAGTGGGGCCAAATTTTTTTGTTTTTAATAAAATTTAATGTTACTATTATTATTATTATATTATTATTATTATTATTATTATTATTATTATTATTATTATTATTATATTCCGTAATACTAATATTATATTATATTATATTTTAGGAGTGAGTTGAAAATGTTGGGATGTAGAGAAAATAGTGAATGAATTGATATGGAGTAAGGCCTATTTTTGAAAGTGAGAGAGTACTGCAGGGATAAACAAAGCCTTAGTGAGCTAAAATAGGGCTATGTTAGGATTATGATATCCTGACAACCAGCTTTACATATAGCATCACCTGGCTTTGGTTTGGTGAAATTGCGTTCAACGGGTTCAACTTGTTCTTTCTTCAAACTTAAAAAAAAAAATGAATAAATAAATGCAAGTAATCTTGTTTCTACAGGGAAACCCTGATGTGGATACCTTAGTGCTCCATGTTTGACTGTGAAGAGATGATCTACCTTCCTTTTTGTGTAGTGTAGATTGGCAGCTCCTGGTGTGGTTGTATACTTGTATTGCTATAATTTAATGCTTAATCATTTCATTGAAGCTTAGAGTACCTTTAGATCAACAAAAACTAGATACTTAGGGCATTAAATTGGATGGGTTGTATGTGCCTGAGTGTACACCCTTTTTATAACTTGGTTCTATTCTTCATAATGAATAATTCATAGGACTATGGTGCTCTAAAGTTGAGAAGTGCAATCTCAATTTATTTGGCCAGAAAAATCTCATAACATGGAGAGACATTCTATTGAATGAGTATTTACCTACCTATGCTTTATGGCAGCTAGTCTCGAGTAGTTGGGAAACAAAGCAACCGTAAGATGGTTGTAACTGATATTAGAGTGCTAAGACTAATGTTTGCATGTATAAGGATCCATCATATATGACTATTTGAAGTAATACACAAGCAGTGTGGGTTGGAGACCATTATAGAAAATAGATTAAGGTGGTTTGAACATATTAAATGGAGGCCTGTGGATGCTGCAGTTAGATAGTGTTGATTATATGGCAAGAAGCACAGGAAGTAGGAGAGGAAGAGGTAGACTGAGACTTTGGCACCCCGGGGATTATGATGTATATAACAAGACATAAATGCTAGTCATGGGCTGTAGCTTGCTACATTAATTTCTATGCAATTCTGCAGTGGGAACAATACTCCTCGGTTCTGTTTTTATTTGTAAGCAACTGTTGTAATGCTCCCTCACTTGACCACAAGTGGCAACTGTACATTGTTAGGACACTGTCTTTTTGTTTCCCATGTTATTGCATTTTTGCATACTGTAGTCCCTACTCACATCTTTTGTTCTTTACCTTTATACTTTATCTGTGTAAATATAACCTAGAAAATAGTTGCAATTTCTCTTTAATCCAAATAGTTGCCTGGTAAAATTCATCTTCCAATGGAAGTACGCTTTGGCATAGTTGGTCATCTGGCTTTTTGGGATTTGAATGGACTAATCATTGCATTTCTTCTCTTGTGAATAATAATTTGCTGCATCTAGGAGTCTTAGAGTAACATAATGCTTTAGGAATCGAAGTTTTATGCTTAGTAATTTTGATGACAGGACTTCAGTGCTTGAGAAAGCTTCTAAATCAGTTTGGGAGCTGATATTGGATCACAATGGGATCGGGAAAGAAATAAGCGAGACAGTTGAGGGCGTATTTTGTAGATTGAGCGGAAGAGAACCTCCGTTGTTCCCTCCAGCTGTCGAAACCAAATCAGACAAGGGGAAAGTGAAAGACAGCGAGGAAGGAAGGGAAACTGAGAAGGATAATTCATCAGACTTGGCGTTAAAGAAGAGGAAGTTCCATGAAGTGAATACAGAAGATGGCGCAGAAGAAGTTGCTAAGAAATCACACGAAAAGTCAACTGAAACAGATGATTCTAGTAAAATGCCTACACCTAGCACAAAATCATGATTCCTTAGGTAAACTATATATCTACTTTATCCTTCTCTCCATTTTAGCCCTAGTAGAAGAACTTTTGAATGCTCAAAACTCTTGTAACAGAATCAGTCTGCGTCATATATGGTTTGTAGATATGCACACTAGGAAATGATGCAGGCGTTTTATGCTTTCTGAAATCCTTGTATCTTTTAGCAGGTTCAAGGTTTGAAGTTAATACTTTTGTTAGCAATAGCTGCCTTCTTGACTTCTTGTTGGCAACTTTCATAATTGGAATTGCTCATTAAACTTAGAATGATGACAATTGTTCAGTAAGTCCCAATTGGAACTATTTAAGTGTCTGTATGAAAAGCAAAGACATACAGTTGTGACTTTCATGAAGAATAAAAAGCTTTATTCTGTTGTTATAAAGATCGAATTTGGCATTATCAACGACTACATGATCGTGGTTTGATTTGAACTAAACCGTATACTGCAATAATAGACTCAATATATTATCTTTATTGTTATAGCAAAGACCCGAATTCGTTTTGCATTTTTTTGGAAGACAAATTCTAATTAACTATTAAAATTATGATTAATGAATAAACATTAAAAGATTACAATAATAAAAACACTACATATCAATAAATACAACCTCTAATTTTTTTTTTTTTTTTTTTTTTTTTTTTTTTTTTTTTTTTTTTGAGGAAGGTTCAGTTTGCACATTCCATAGCGAAGGCATACGGCATGTGAGGAACATATGCAATTAATGTTTGCCATGTAACAGTCACGTTTGCATCTGTTACAAAGAATGGTGCCATGGAAAACTAAACATATCCTCCGTACATAATATACTTTTACAGTTTACTCCTTTTATATTAAGGTGAGACTTAGAGTCCTGAACTTATAGCTTATTTTAAGCTATTAATAAGCTATAAGCTTTGTTTGGTAGTATTTTTAAAATAAGCTCATAGCTTAAAATAAGCTAGTAGTTTCCTAATTGTTTTACAATCTTATCTTTACTATTTTAAAGAAATGACATCTTTTATACTTCCCAATTAAAACCATTTTATCTTCTCCTTTTATCAACAACTTTCACTGCAAATAATAATAATAATAATAATAATAATAATAATAATAATATTATTATTATTATTATTATTATTATTATTATTATTAGATTAGAGGAAGGATATTGCTACTTCATTATGAGATGTTAGATCATGATTATGCTAATAGTTTTCAGAATGTTAATTTTTTTAAAGACAAAATGTTAAATTTTAATATGTAAACAAAGTAATTTAAATTTTATCAAGATGTACTTTTTTGTCTTTTTTACTTTTATGATTTTATCAGTTATCAAAAAGCTACTTTTACCAAACACTTTCAAGCATAACAGCTAGCTTAACGGCTCTTCAGTTTTCAGCTCCTAACTAATAATTTTTCAACTTTCAGCTACCTTTTCAGCTCGGTTTGCCAAACATAGCCTACCTCTTCTCTCTTTATTTTCCCCCTCAGCTCCACTTCTTCAAGCATAAATACATGGGGAGGGAGAAGATAAGAAACATATATTACATCTTCCTTTTCTACCATATCATCACTTCTCCCTCCTAGCCCACATTGGAAGCAATCGATAATTGAAGCTAGCACCATCGTTGCCGGAATAGTTGAGGTACGTACATACTCCATGCGGCTTTGTTTATAATTTTTGGCAACTAATAATAATAATAATAATAATAATAATAATAATAATAATAATAATATCTGCACGTAACAAATGATGACATATATTTGGAATGACCCAAATTATAATGCCAAAATTAGGGGTCGTTTACTAACTTGGAAAAATGGAGAATTTTCCAAAAAATGGAGAAATTGAGAAGTGGAAAAAATAAAAATTGGAGAAGTTGTTTACCAAATATCTTCTTCCAAATGCTTACTCCATCTCCATTTTCCAACTTCATGTACATTTTTGAAGAAAGAAAATTTGGACTTCTCCAAATGGAGAGATGGAGAAAACACGCGTGAACAGTAACTCCTCCAAGAGGTCGCGGGTTCGAATCTTGTACTGTGCCTCTGCTTCTTTGCACGTCGCGAGTTCGAATTTGAATTGTTGCTTTGCACGTCAGTTTTGCTCTGCCTTTGCTTCATTATTATTATTATCTTTTTTTTTTTTTTTTTTTAATTTTCCCCTTTCTTCATCCTTATGCACACATAATAATAATAATAATAATAATAATAATAATAATAATAATATTATTATTATTATTATTATTATTATTATTATTATTATTGTTGTTGTTGTTGTTGTTGTTGTTGTTGTTGTTATCTTTGTTGTAGAAATGTAAAAATGCTATATGGAATGATTGTATTTAATAAAATCAGAAAATTAGAGAAATGAAGAATTAGAGGAATGAGGAATGAAAATTGAAAAATTGAAGAAATGGAAAACTGGAAGAATGGAGAAAGAAAACTGGAGAAATGGAGAAATGGAAAACTGGAAATGGAAAAACAGAGAAACGAAGTAAACGACCCCTTAGTGTATCTAGATATGAAGGTAAAATGTATACTGATGAACCTCAAGAGCCCCGAATGATTGCATATTTTAGGGTCGTAGGGTTTTACGGTGTTACACATTTAGGTCGTCGTATTAATATCAATCGCGGCCTCATAGCAGCACTTGTAGAGAGATGGCGGCTAGAGGTGCATGCCTTTCATTTTCCATTTGGTGAGGTGGGTATAACACTTCAAGACGTTGAAGTGTTATTTGGTTTGAAGGTTGATGGGCTTGCAGTCACTGCCTCACTGGTAAAGACAAGTGTCTATGTAATGAATGGATTGAGGAATGTGACAGGTTACATTGTTGGGTTTTCGACCTTCCTAAAGTCGTTACCACGAGCAAATATTTGTTATCGTGTTACCAGTAGTGCATGTTGTGAACGGGTGGAATACTGATGAGGAAGTAGAACAAGCTACTCGTTGCCTTATTCTTCTACGAGGCTTTCTCTTTCCTGACATAACGAAGAATAAGGTGAAGCTATTTTTAAATTTTTTTTTTTTAAATACCTTTGAAGGACGCGGTCAGTATAGTTGGGCGTCTACGGTATTAGCGCATAGTACTTGTATAGGTCAATGTGTTGTGCAGCCGACTTTGAGTCACCCACAGCTTGCGGATGCCTCATATTATTACAGATATGAGCATGGGAAAGGCTATCTATGGTGAGGCCCCAAGTAATATTGCCTTTGAACAATCTCATTGATTTGCCATATGGAGCGATGTTAGTTATAATATGTTAGATTTTGTACTTTCGAATTATAAGAGCATCCTCAATAGGAGATTATTCTTGATTTTTCAAATAGTAAAAACTACACGGTGAGGTTTTTAACTAATGTGGAGGGGAGGTTTTTGAGGGTTGGGTCTTTAGGCCATTCCAACGTGACTGCATATCAACTAAACGGCAAATAATTTGGTGGAAAGAGTCCAATGGAGCGGCAAAACGCCAAAAAATTTGGCGATGATGAACAGTGCCGCGCCATATATGGCGCGACACTGTTCATCCACGGCATTTCCTGAACATCTTTTTTATTCATCTTTTGCCCCTGCTTTTATTTATTAATTCCTTTCATATCCTTTATTTTGTTGGTATATTTTATATATTTTGTTAAATACTTAAACATAAATGTTATATTATTATAAATAAATTATATCATTTGAAAGATCTCTAAACAAGACTAATATTGAATATAGATTAAATAAAAATTAAAATAAATTAAACATAACAACAACATAAAAATAATATTACTAAAAATTTATTATTTACACTAACAATTATATTTTGTATTAAATTAATTAAATCTGAACTAATAAAAATTTAAAATTAGAGAAAGCATATTATTTTAATGTAGAATAACATTTGACTTAAAAATTTAGTGTTTTGGTGTAATAGGTTGGAGACAATAAAATTTGGTGTAGAGAATATTTTCACTGATGTGACATTTGGTGGAGATTTTTGGTGTTTTGGTGTTAATAGGTTGGAGATACTCATAGGCAAACGAGGATACTCTAATTAAGCTATACCTCGAGATCGAAGACAGTCAACTAGACAAGTGACGCCTAGCTACGCACGTTTTGGTATTCCGCTCCTATTTGTATCCAAATCTGTGAAACAGAGAAGTAGGCAAGGAAAGTGAGGTGCCATGGAATCTGATCCCCAAACCCATCAGTTTGGTGCCACTCTCCCGGTGCCTAATGTCCAGGAATTGGCTAAGCACAAACCGGCTATGGTCCCAAGCCGGTATATACGCCAGGATCTACCATCTCCAGCTGAATCCAATCCCCCATGTTCTTCCACCCAAGTCCCAGTTATCGACATGAAGAAATTAATGTCCCAGGAATCAACACATGATTCGGAGCTTCGGAGGTTGCACTTTGCCTGCAAAGATTGGGGTTTTTTCCAGGTAACCAAACTCATATCTCGCATTTAATAAGTGAATTAGTTTGAAAAATATAGTAATACGAATGAATTGAAGTGCAGCTGATAAATCATGGAGTGAGGTCTTCAGTTTTGGAGAAAGCAAAAGTTGAGGTCCAAGGATTCTTCAATCTGGCATTGGAAGAAAAGCAAAAGTGTGGGCAAATTGCAGGGGAGATTGAGGGATTTGGGCAACTATTTGTTGTATCTGAGGAGCAGAAACTTGATTGGGCAGATATGTTCTTCATAAAAACTCTACCACCACATATAAGATCACCACGTCTATTCCCTAAGCTACCACCCACTTTCAGGTAAATAGTTAATTAGACAAAAAGAAATAGGGAAAATAATCAAATAAATAAGCCCCGCCCTAAAATTTTAACAATTTTGCCACTGCGTTTTTTTTTTTTTTTTTTTTTTTTTTTTTTTTTTTTTGTAACAATCCCCTACCTTTCTTTTAAAAACAATTGCTAAAAGTTAGTATCCTATGTTCTTTTTTGTATTAGTGTATGACCAGTCGCCATTGTCAATGAAAAAGGCAACCGAACTGGTTGCCTTCACGGGAGAAGGCGACCACGCCGGTCACCTTTTTCATCGATCGAAAGAAGGTGATCAATCCAATCGATCGGCAGTACTTTTTGTAAACTGTAATGATTTTGTTATCAACAACGGCGGTCAACAACGGTCTGCATACCGGTAATCAATAGGTTACCGGTATATGAGACGACATATATATATGACTAATTTTAATAACTTGTAGTGTTTAATTAATCGCAACTTTTAAAAGTTCAGGAGCCTAATTATTTTCTCGTGTAAGTTCAATGACATATTTGACTATTTTTTTTCCAAAGAAATAAGTTT